TGAATGATTTGCTATTCCCATGGATGTAGATAAACATATGTTTACATTATTTTGATATCCTTCACATATTTTGTCATCAAGTGTCACATATTGGTGACATTATCATTTTTCAGAATAATGCATCCTGAGATGCTGGCAGTTTATTCTTTTTCAAATAACTTTGCTATCTCTCTCCTTCCTTCATCACTCCATCACCTTCAAACACTGTATACAACATGGAAAAATGACAGATCATGTCTTGTTGCGGTCCTTGCCACAGGTAAATGTTCAATTTGTGTCATATGAATCAGATCAACAATATCCACATCATATTCTTCATTTGGCTATTTGATTTCTAGTGACAACCTAGATCATGCATCAGCATTGCAATAGCTTCTCATGTTTCAATATATGATATTATAATCATACCCTGACAAGAATATATGTTTATCTTTATAAAACTGCTGCTGTCGTTACTGAAACATCTTTTTGTGACAAGAATAAACATATAGCTGAAAAAGTATTGATGAAACTTCTTCACTCAGCATATGATTGGTTTTATAAAAGATCACAAAATGAATGCTATAGACAGTTTGGTGCCATCTTCCATACCATATGATAATGCCTCTCTCATAATAGGGAGTGACATCATTGTCACACAGATTGTTTTTGTAGGATCATGGTGTGTTAAAGTGTCTGAGACAATCAGTTGTTTAGCGTATATAAACACAGTCTTGCATTCAGGTGACTATTACCACTGCTGATGTTTCTGAAAGAACTGGTACAGTCGATGCAACCCTGTAATTAGGTTAGAAAGAAATTGATGAGAAAAGTTCACTAAAACCAAGAAATCATTGAAACTGATGTATATTGAAGATTTGTGGCACTCCTAGAACAGCCGGGTCCTTTCCAGGTTTTTTTCTGTAATAACGCTTCTGTAATATCATGCCACAACAGATAACCTTCCTTTTGAAGAACTCCCATTTCTCCAAGCTCACTCAAAAGTTGTGCACCTTGAGACATTTAAGCACTAGTTTCATATTCACTTATGATAATCAGATTGTCATTTATTCACTCTGTTTTTGCCATGTTAGCTAAGACCCGATAAATTGCACACTGCAAGATTTCAAACCTTGAGATGACTCAAAATGTTTACTATATAATCCATAGTAAGCATTCAGAGTTAAATCTTCTGTGTGCCATGTCCCTTCAGGATATGAGCAATCATGGCTATCTACAACTTCTTGTCCTTAAAAAAGTTTGTCTTTTTGTTATAACTCTTAGTCCCTGTTCTGCCAACCATTTACACAAGCTCTTTAGGTAGGTAATGCACTGCTTTCCCTTGTCCTTCTTGCCTTCAATATGCCCTGTAAGTGTCAAATTTTCCAAGCCCGCTTTCCTCATTATGTGTCCTAAAAATTTCAACTACTTTCTGATGCTGAGTACAAGTGACTTATTTATTTTCAGTTTCTCTAATTCTTTATCATTGCTCATGTGTTCAGTCCATGGTATTCTCAGCATCCTTCTGTAGAACCACATTTCTATTGCCTCAAGTCTCTTCTCCAACTGGGAGTAGATTGCCTAGTATTCACTGTCATATAAGAGAACCAATATTGCATAACAGTTCAGTAGTCTTTTCTTTGTTCCTTATGAAATTTTCCTGTTCTTTAATACTGTGTTTAGTTTTTGGAAGTCATCTGTCATTATTCAAAAGTACCTTTATATTACAGTGTAGTATTTTCTGTCTTCTGTTAAAATATATCCTAGATATGTAAATTTTTACACTTGTTTAATTTTGGTATCTCCAATATGTAATTCACATGTTGGGTTGTTTCTTTTGCTGAAAAACATACATTCTGCTTTTTTACAATTGACATTTAGTCCTTTATTCACACTTTCCTTTACTACCCTTTGTAAGAGTTCCTGTAGTTTCCTTTCTGTGTCAGTTATCAACACTGTCATCTGTATATTTTATATTGTTAAGACTTTCACCACCAATAATGAATCCTGGTAGGACTTTACTGTCTTAATAACTCATCCATTTCTATCTGGAGATACGTTTGTTTCAGATCAATATTTGTGAATATATCCCCAATTTTAGGCAAAGGATATTGATCTGTCTTCAAACACAAATTCGTAATCGACTTATAATCTCCACAGTAATCAACTGCTCTGGACTGTTTCACCATTAGTACAATTAGCATAGCACATTCAGCAATTTGTATCTTAATGAGAATTCTTGTGTTTTCCAATTCAACTGCTGGTTACATGACATATGGTATTTGCCTAGCTTTTACAAACACAGGTGAACTATTTTCCTTAGGAGTCAGTTTGATCTGAACTCCTTTCACTGTACCTAGTTCACTATATTTTCATTATATTTTATGAGTAATATTTGTAACCTTGCTTATTTGTGTACTTGTGTCATGCTTAACATTTTTATTTCAGTTAAATGTGACATAATGTTTGTTTTCAATAATTTTATGTGTGAAAACTACTTATAAAAATCACTGCAGAGTAACTGCAACAGTTGATCTGATGTTCAACTCTACATTTAAGAGTTGATTGGTGATAGTGTAACCCACATTATATCACTATTGTTAGTGTTCTTGCTATAGATATTGATATTAGTAACTAACAGATCTTGTTTGTCATATGTTTCATATGTAAAAATATAAGACTCAAGTCTATTTGTCTTGCTTGTATCCATGAACAGATTTGTGCTTTGCAAAATAAAACTATTTACTTGCCTTGTCCATGCATTTTTAATTTGCCCCTTTTTTAGAATAATGTCTGCAAAATATGTCCTTAAGACAATATGTAAATGGTTGATGTTACTCTCCATATGTGTATCCCTGAATCAACTCTTAGTAGCTCTGTCGTTAACTGATTGTCCTTGACCTTTATGGTTTGGCTGGCTTGGATTTGTCTATATCTTGTGATATACATTGTGAGTTAGCATGCATCTCTTCCATAGCTTTGGCATGTTTCAATTTACTCTTTTGTATTGGTTCCAAATTCAATTCATACACTAGCCTATCTGTTAACATATTTAAATTGTCAACAAAATTATGTGATAGTTTCTTTAAGTTTGTTATACTTTGTATTGACATTTTTACCTTCTGGATGGTCCTGTTTGTGAATTATACTCAGTCTTGGTGATAAATGATTTGTAACAACTATCAGTTCATCAAACATTTTTATTTTGGGTTTTCTCAGTCTCATTAAACTATGTAGTAATTCATACATCTTCCTTTCAATAAAACTCAATAATACTGGCACTTTCTTATTGTCATGGTTGTTATTTACTTTGAGATATTGTTCAAATTTTAATTCTATCAATTCATCATAGACTTTGATATTTCTTATATAGTCTACTATTTGGTTCCTATTTCCTTACTATGTTACTATCTTGATTTACCTGTAGTTCATCAATTCACAATACATTTTTTTTGTGATTTCTTCATGATAGTTGCAGAGTTTGTAATTCATCTCAATTATATCACCAAAATTTATCACACATGAAACTTCAATGAAGTTTGAATGTATTGAAAAGACAAACAGGCACAAAAAAATTAGGGATCAAAATTTTATATTAGTTTAATTTAATGATTATTTAATATAAGGTATCCACGCTTCTGGCAGAAATTCAATATTTTAAACATTCTTCAGATGGGTTTATCTGTCACAAATAAAGATTAAATAAGCAATTTAAAATGTTCATGAAATAGAAATATGTATCCTCATAGGCAACTGTAATCAAGCCTTATTTATGCACAAATTATTTTTAAACAGAAAACGGATTTAGAATCTCTAAACACTACATAGTTATTTTATATTTGTTATTAAAAAAGTTTAAATAAAAGTTTTTGAAATGTTACAGAATATATACACCAGTTTTGACTAATCCAAAGAAAAAAAAACTTTGCAAGTTCTCAAATACTGAGATATTACTAATATTCACATGTATTTCATGCTTAAAATGTTGTTCTATCATAATTCATGTACACTGAAGAAGATCCATTTTTGTTTTGGGTCATGAGATTGTTTGAAACAGGCAATGTCATTTCTTTGATGAAAGTAGCGATTGATAAATTCTTACAACAAAAAAAAAAATAAATAAATAAATTTATTATTGAGGGAATCATCAGTAGTATAATCAAAATAGAGAAGAAACTAATTACCATACAGTCTACAGCAGTTTCATGCAATGAAAGGACACAAGCCAATATCAAGCTCTAGGAGTGAATGGTGATTCAAACTTAAAAGTATTACATCATGTGAGAGTTTACTTAGAAATCTATTCTCAGAAAAGAACTTGCTGCTATTAAAAGAAAACAGTTATATAACAATATAAATAATCCTATAGGGTAAGAATTAAAAAAAAAAAAAAAATAGGTTGGCAAGATGCTGAATAGTCTCACTGCAACATTTTTATTCTGATAATATCAACAGATTTCTAGATTTGGTTTATCAGACTACAGTTTATACTCATTTGTTACTAAGATGCCTCCTCTTGGGTTATTATATCAAGTTAAAGAGTCCCACCAGACCTGGTTTTGAAATCATAAATTCCCTTTTCCCTCCAGAGTTACCACCCAAGGCTAATGAGTTTACCTATAAAGCATTAGAAATTGTTGAACTATTGATCTTAATGTTCCCATTGGGGTGCTCTATTAATTGAGTTATTCTCCAGAATTTAGCTTAGAGTAAAAACAACATTTAGAATATTGAGGACAAAGAATGGTAAAGGAAAATAAAATACATTTCTTTTTAACCTGCAGTCATTAGGCAGCCACTACTTTGTGGTGACTGGTATTTGTTTTTTCAGGCAGTACTTGCCCTCTGATTACACTATATTTTTATTATTTCAACGTTCTGACAAAAAACAGACTCCCATAATGACAAGGCTAAACATTAAGTACTCAATAGATCATTATTTTAAAACTTTTCAAAATTGTTATAAAGCAATTTTTTAAAATAAACAAAATGAAATATAAATAAATATCAAAAGATCTTACAGTCTCATCAATTTGTTCAATTTCTGACCAAATGTTAGCAATGAGGATTGTATTGCAGTTGCCACCAATGGAGTCTTTAAGGAAATATGTTAGTTTGGATTGTCGAAAAGGAATGTGCTTTCTTTTCTCATCAGCCATAGCTGCAACAACTTGCTGTAAAAATGTTTGTGATTTATTGATATGCTGTGCTTCCATTTGGATCTTGCTGCTTGACTTAAAAAAAAAAAAAAAAAAATATTAGGTGAGCAATGAAAAATTAGACAACAAAGTAAAACAATTTTAATAACCCTCTGTAAACATACATTATAAATATTACATATAAACATAAAAACATTAGGTGTTTTTCCAAATCTTATTTTCTCTGTACAGACTTTTCCAAGAATTTCACTTTTTTTTATATATATATATATATATATATATATATATATATATATATTTTCAAGTGTTTCTTCAGAAAGTGAATCAAATACTTTTTCAGATAATTTTAAAACAAAGGAAATAATAAAAAACACATGCTTGTAGTGAAGAGTCAGTAAACAAGAAAAATTAATTGACTTCCTTAATATTTCAATGATTATTTACAATATTCTGAGAATATTATTAACAAAATTACCACCCACCTTTGTTGCTTTATATTGGCATGATTCTTGTAATCACTTTTATTAAGGCATTTGTCACCATTTAAGAAAACAGATTTTTCAGATTATACAATACTCAAAAAATGGAAAAACTTTAATTGTGATGATTATTATTTGGCCTTGTGTATAAAATAGGCTCAGAGATAAAAAATAATTAATACTAAAAAATTAATGTTTAATAATTTTACAAAATAACATCAAGAGCCAGAGTATGTCATGAATACTTCTGCATCATTAGTCATGTGTTTTTCAATAAATGTGCTTTGTGACTACAACAACCTTCTTATAATTTACAGATTTAAACAAACTTTGTCAGATTATTTTTCTCTCCAACAACACAGCAGAACAAATGACGGTTATCTGTGATTAAAATGTTGCTTCATATAACTCCTGCCATGCAATAAAGATAAGTCTAATTTTTCAATTTAAGTTTTTGCTGATAGTTGTTTCAGGAGAATTACTAATTAGGCATTTAGTTAAGGGCACTGAACAAGTCAACAAAGATTAAATGTACAACTAATTTAATAGTCTTCCTAAATGTTCCAAACAGACTGGTCATAAGTCATGATAAACAGATAATACAAACTCCAAATAAAACCTTAAGATGCATTAAATTAAAGGAAACATGCTTCAGAAAGAAAGAAAGAAATATACTAGGTTGTGGCTAATAGAATATTGGGTGGTCTTGGAATAAATAAACAACTATAAAGATATAAACATACTTTTTCTAACAAAGCTATCCATTAATATTGAAGTTATAAAAATGAAAAATTACAATTAGATAAAACTGATAAATATGCTTTCAGAAATTATTCAGATTTCTATGTAAAATAGAATATGAAATTCTTGGAATTGGGTTTTTTAAAATGAACATTTTGAAGAATATAATACAGTAACATTCCATTTTCTAATTTCTTTATTAAGTGTGTGCAAAGATTTCTAGTATGTTTTATTAATAAACACTAATACATACATTGAATATTCATTAAAATATTTCGCTTGTATGAATTTATGCCAATGTTCAGGAAATTTTCAAATTTCATCTTTGATAAAATGATTGGTTTTGATACAATAGAGTTGTCAATGAAATTGGGAACATCAATAATATCTTTAAATCTTTGACCAGACAAGGAATGTTGCACTGACTGAAACAAAGGAGAGCCCAATTTTACTAAGTCTGATATGATTTTTTTTGCTGAGAAAAAACGGTGGAGGAGCATTTTTATGCAGTAATATGGCTTAGCAACTTCCTACTCTGTCAATATTTTTTTTTTCCTTCTATTACTGCAAATTCAAAGATGACAACTGTAACTGCAATTACAGTTTCACCAGATATCAGCAATTTGGAATCAAATACACATTTCACATCCCACCAAATAGTGAGAATCAACCACCACCACCAATGTTTAGACCTTTGCTGCTGATGCTATAGATGGTTCTGGGTCCACCCATAGTTTTTGATGCTTCAGATTATTATAGTGAACACACTTCTCATCTTCAAAGACCACCTTCCAAAAAAAAAAAAAAAAATTCATGTTTTGCAAGAAGTAAAATGCAGGTGGTGAGATGCTATCCAATGCTTTATTCTTACATTACATATGGAACTCATTTTCTCACCTTTTTAATCTTCCTTCTATTTTCTAACTACTGAGTGATTGACATCAAGTTTTCAAACAATCATACTGAGTGAAGCCATTATCCAAAAGAGATTTTAAGACATCATTTACAAATTCTTGTGGTCTACTACTGTGTGGTTTGCTCTCAAAGTCATTTTCATCTTTCTTGAATTTCACACACTATTTTCCCAACACAACATTTTTATGGGCTTAATATCAATCATCATCTTCATTTCTGCTACTGTCTTCCTCAACTTGAAAAATAACATGCAGTGTTACATCTATGTATTGTAAGTCACAATCTCTAACACAGCATTCAACACAGGATAAATGAGCAGTAAATGCAGAACACTCAAAACTGATTTTTAACTGTTTAGTGTCTAATTTAAAAAAAAAGAAGGGTGGTAGCTGAGAATTTTTGCACACACCTGATATAGACAATATATGCCTTAGCATTGTGATAAAAAAGTATATATAAATATATACAAAAACATAAAACAAAAAGGGGAGGAATAGCAAAGACAAAGGGAAAAATATGACACACCATAAAGGGGTAAATAGAAATAACAATATATTCATTCCTCACATTTCAGAGCAAATTGAAAGCAAAAACATAAATATGTGCACAATGACAAAAAATGGGAAGAAAAAAATTACTACCATAAGTCGATTTTTTTTTTTTTTTCAACAGTGAGAATTTCCATGGATATTTTAATGAATCGCATCCAATATTAGTCTTGACACGTGAAAAGGAAAACAATGCAATTTTGCCTTTTCTTGATGTGCTGCTACACAGGTAAGACAGTTTACCTAACTTCTGTATATTTTAAGCCAACTTTTACTAAATTGTACATCCGTTGGGACTCTCTTGTCAAAAGCAATAAATTTGGTTCATCAAGCCATAATTATCTGTTCTAAAACCAAATTAAATTCTGAAATCGAGTCATTTTTAAGGTTTTAATTGAAAATGGCTACTCTCTGAATGTTGTGAGATCTGGCGTTGTGTGAAAGATTAGCAATTTAATAAACCCAACTCATATAATTACTGTGAATTAGCAAAGTTACTACCAGATTTGCTCAGCAAATCACTCAAAGTATGCAGCTTCATTATTTTTCTGCTAATCCATGGCCTGTTTTAACTTCCCAATCAATTCATAAAGATGTTCTACCTCTCCCCATCATGCTCGGACAGTGATTTATAATTACAAATGTCAGCGTATTGATGATTATATCGGCAAAACAGATCAGAGGTGGGAGACTAAAATTGGTCAGTATATATCAGCTAAGATCCATCAAGTGCAGCATGAACATTTGCATACACTTTAATAATTCCACTTCTGCAATTGTAGAACACTTAATAAATAATCCAATTTATGCCTCATCTTTCACCAGGGATTTTTTCACCATAATAAGAAGAGTGCATTTGGATTACCATCTGAGAATAATTGAGACCATTTATATTAAGACTAAGCAGCCTTCCCTCTGTAAGCAGAAGGGATGGTTGCTGGCTCTAAATGTAATCTATCTGTGATTTATACTGCCAATTCCATAGCAGTACTTTTTTTATAGTCATTGTGCACATATTTATGTTTTTGTCTTTGACTGGCAGTGAGGAGTGATAACCTGTAAACCCTTTTTTGTTTTTACATTTTTTGATCCACCACTTTGTTAATTTTTTTTTTTTCATCCTTGCTTTTCCCCCTCTTGTTTATATATATATATATATATATATATATATAATGTACACACACACACAAGTACAGGGTTGGTACACATGGATAAAATTCCAATAACCAAAAACACTATGCTTAAAAGAGTACTTAATACCAAATAGAGCTAATAATATTTATTCAAATTTATAACCTATACATGTTATAAGATCACTGCTAGTATCTTATCAAGTGATAATGTTAACTCAACATCATCACTTGATAAGACACCAGAGTGTTGAAACAAAATTACAACTTTTGTAGTGACCTTATAACATATATATGTTAGAAATTTGTGTGTGTGTGTGTGTGTGTGTGTAATGAATATACATATTGTTACGAGGATGCATTTCTATAATAAGGGATTTCACTGAGTTCTACTTGTTATTACAAAAAAGTTTTCATTCATGAAGTAGTTGTAAAATAGAGAAATTAGAAATAGAATGTTTGGAAGATTCTAGATCATTCAAGTATATTCGAGAAAAACCTAGATGATTCGAGAAACATCTAGAAATATGCAAATTAGGTGTTAGCCCCTATAAAAATGGGATTTTGGAAAAGGGTTGTCAGTTGATGAAAAGGAATTTCTGCTGTTATCAACTCCAGCTTTTGATTCAAGGACTATTATATCCAGCCGAAAGAATCTATAAAAAGTTGCCGACCAACCAAAACCCAAAAGAGAATTTCATGGAACAAAGTTGGTAAATAAAATTTTGACTAATTTTCATTGACCAAACTAAAAATTAATATTTATTTACACACCTTTGTGGATTTCCAAATATAGCACTTAGATTACTTCACTAGCCCTAAAGTGATAAAGATATTTGATTCCCTTTCCTTCTCCCTCGTAACACTTCCGCCAGTAACTCTGCGTTTTCTGTTTTGTAGGCCACAATTGTTTATCTTGTATATATTTTATGTTCTGTTTTAGTAAATTAAATATTTGTTTGTGATTTAGCTCTGTGTTGTGGTAAATCATTTTTTTTTCCTTTGTTACAATTATCAACACGTAACAATATACCTACGTTTGGTGTGCAACTTAAGTTTCGTTGGTTACCCAACTCATCAGGTACAGATATAGCTTATTGTTTATTTAAATAAACAATAAGCTATATCTTGTGGCCAACAAATTGGGTAACCAATGAAACTTCTTAGCTCTGTCTAACCACATCGAGCACTATTATGTCTACACCTCTTGGTAAAATTTGGTAATTATTTATTTGCTTCCCTGTGTATGCATGCCAGCATGAACATATACAGTTGCTAATATCTAGCTATTTCATTTACCTAACCATATATATATATATATATATATATATATATATATATATAGATGATGGACTCTCCCATCATTTTGATGTATGAGTGTCTTTCAGTTTAATTTTTTTAAACCTGTACCCATTGCCTTAACTATCTCGCCAGTAGACTTGTTGCTCAGGTGGAATAGCAAAGAAGGAACACAGAACTGAACTGCAGACTATCCACACAGAAGATTTGTTTAGAGTAATGAAGGCTTGTGTAGAACCAGCCCCACTTATTGGAAGTGGTGATAACAAGGAATTGGTGCAAATATTTGCCACAAACACAATGAACAACAATCCTCAGGTTTTAATATCATGGAGTTATACCTCTCCTGTACTACCAGTGCACAAAAGAGTGCAGGGTTTTTTTTATGATAATTTCACATGATTTAGCCCACCTGCTGAAGCAATTTACAGGATTTAGTGCATGGAGATTTAGGGGATGTGTGAAGACCAGTGTTGCCCGTCCATCTTAAGGGCAGCAGCCAAGTAACAAAGTTACTTCTACCCACTGCCACTAACACACATAGAACATACACTGGATGTTAGAGTAAACAGTTCATCATCAATGTGCAATATGTTGCTACAAAGTATAAATTATTATAAAGTATAAGAGAAAATTCTATTATTATTATTGTTGTTTAAAAAAATTTGAAAGATAATAATGAAACAAATTGACTAGTAGTAAAAACGAAACAAAATAACACTGTAACTGGGAATGCATTTTCAACAAAATTGAAATTACATTTACCTTGCAATAAAGAAAACTTTAAAGAATTAAAATTCATACAAAATGTTGTAAAAGAATCTTTGAATATAGATAATAATAAAGAAATCATCGATAATGAGCTACTAGTCAAAGATAAACAAAATAAACATTACAAAAATGCTTTCCTCTAATTTCGAAAATTACTACCGCTTTCATAAAGACAACAACAGATAAACAAATGTTACGCTTAAATAGAAATAGATTAAAATTATACAGTATTCTTATATTTTTCTTGTTTATTATAATATTTAGTTATGTTATTCATTTACAGTATTTAATATACATATTTTATAGTTTTTTTGTACATGTTTGTCTATCTTTAGTCATGGTATACAACAATTTTTTCTTCTATTTTTTCTTTCTTTTTTTATTTTAAAACAATTGTTGTTTCACAAGTGAAATTTCTTGCTAAGAGTTATATATATTAAGAACATTTAATGTATTGTATTTCTTATACTAATTATATAGTGGTGTGTGTGTGTGTGTATATATATATACACACACACACACATACTTTTAAAATGTACAATTCTAAAGGTCTAATAAAATTTTGTATCCCCATACATTATTTAAGGTATGAATAGTTAGGAATAAAATTTGAATATATTTGGAAGAGTATTTTGTGTAAGTTTAAATTTTCCCTTGGTTGTAAAAAAGGGAATATGAACACCAATAATTGATAGTATATGAACATCAAATTCTATCATTTCCATACAAGTCAATACATTAGTTTCCAGATCATCAATATGTATTCAGAAAGATTTTTATTAGAAATAAACATAAAATAAAGAAGATTATTAGTTTAATAATCTTTTGCTTGCTTATGACATCACTCAATATATTAAGGTACTTTGCATTGCAATTTGCAGCAAAGAGGAGGAATTTAATTGTCTTTAAACTTCTGGTTCCATAAGACATAGTAACATGATATAGAATAATATATAAACATTTACTCACATTGGTTTTTCCAAGCCTTTCAGAACCAGCCAGGTCAACAAAGTTTAATTTTGAAACTGTGTACTTAGCATCAGTATTCACTAGCGATCTTGTCTTCAAGTAGAAAAAAAGAATAACTATTTTTATTTCAGCAGCAATAATTTAATCACTCTTATATTTTTTATGCAATTTCTCTTATATATAGTATTTATTACATTGTAAAGAAATGATGCCGCAATCTTTTTTTTAGTTGCTTAAAGTGAGATTGTTTTGGTAAATGTTTGTATATGTGAAATGTTAAGATGTATTTAAGTTATTGTGCTTGAAGCTGATCTAATATTTTGTAGAAAGCATAAAAAATTAAACATAAAATCAAAGTAAATGAAAGCAAACAGCATTACAATAGTATCCAATATTAGAGACTGAAAGTGTAAAAAATTTTTTAAATTTCCATTCTACAGATTCAGTTTTCAGAAAAATTGCAATAAATATTTTCAAATATTTGTTCTACACTGGTAAGTTTGCACAAGAATTAGGATAAAAAAAAATATAGAACAAAAACTTCCATCTGAATTTCTGGATGAAGAATTATCACTATTTACATTTTGGACTAATGATATTATCACAACGTTTTGGCCATTCTAACCTCCAACTTTCTTCAGGTGTCTGTCAATCTAGGTAACTGAACTGATCCCTTTATTTAATCTATGAGGTTAAATTCTCATTCCACTGTCCACATCTAATGATATTTTGTCTTGTTCATTTTTAGCACTGTCAGTTATTGATCATTGTTTCCTCAAGAATTGAACTCTCAGTTAATATCACTAAATTTACAAAACCATTGTCCTGTGGGATAATTCTGAACCTAAATCTTTGGACCCTTAAACCTAATGTTGTTCTATCCTGCCTGCTACTGTTGTCAACCATGACTACATTCACTGCTACTTTTTTCTTTTTGCTGCTACTTTTGAAATGGTGCAGTCATTTCTCTTTAGTGCATATGCTAAGCTATGAGGACATCCTCAGTATACCTAGCATTGAAATAAATACCATATGGGAACCATTAATAAATAAAAGGAAATAGCAGCAAGGTAATGTGTCTCTATATAATTACATTTCTATAATTTTTTATTGTATTTACTATTGCCAGAGATATGTAAAGAACTTTTACAGAATATGGTTTCATTGCTAAATGCAGTAAAACTAAAGGCAGTTTGGTAAATTAAAAGCCAAAGCTAATCATAGAGAACTGTACGAGTGAGCAAAAATATGGCTTCATGTTCTAAGAAAAAAACAGGTATTCCTTTACAAAGCTAATTTTAACATATTTAATCAAGTAATATGATGAGAATATGTAATGAATCATGGAAATATAATTTCACAAACAAAATTTATTTCAAATTTGTTTAAGCAACAAATATTAAGTTCTTACTCTGAGTTGAAGCTAAAAGACCCAAGACATTAAATGGAATGGTTAACATTAGTGTACCATGAGTTACATCTAAAGTTAGTTGCATTCAAGTCAAAACTCATTCTTCTGCAGACCAAGATTTATAAACAGTGATTTCTTGCAGGTTTTTTTTTTTTTCATGGTATTATCTTTTGGCAGGCTTGAATTAAGTTTTCCTTCTTAACATATGCTTATGTGTGTCTGCCTAAATAAAATCCAGAGTTCAGAGTTTCTCAATAAATACATACAATTCTAGTGGTTATTTTTGCTAACATTATTAAAATGAGTTTACCCACATAAAATGAAACTTACACACTTCCCAAAATTTGACCAAATGACCAGACATCCCAATATTTTTTTTCTAAACCCTTTCTTGGTTCAGCTGAGAACTTTTCAGCATCCTTTCATGTATCCTTAATGCAGATATTGATTTAATGATTTATCCATAATGACAAATTCATATTGTACCAAATCAAAAGTAGCTGTTACAAAGTTCCATAAATAACATATTTACTCACCTCAATGTAAATAGAAAAAATACAATGGGATCGAGTTGACCTTTGATTATAGCAATGCTCACCTATGGTACGGTTTGTCTCTCCCTAAAAAATTAATTAAACAAAGATTAGTGGAATTAGTATTATATATTCTGAAATTATTTGTTAAATTTTTTACAAAACATTTATATAAAAATCACACTAACAGAATATTGTGAGTAAACTAGCAAAATAAAAATTATCACTAATGCCCCCGGCCCAATATTTAAAAATGAAATTGCAATCAGCTAAGATAGCAGAAGATATCAATATCTCAAATTGTATAAATATTGGATTATGCTACTTAAAATTACTATCATTCTTAAACAATTTTTTCTTAAAGTTGTGCATGCAGTATATGCAGAAAGAAGATTTATATTAAATTTTATTGAATAAATAAAAGGTTTATTAAAACTACAGAATTTAAAAATAAAAACTTTTTATGAAAATTAAAGTAATAAATTAAAACATACTTCAAAGAGTAGATTGAGAGACTCCTCTTCATTTTGAGCAAGATGATAGGAAAGTCCACGAACATACACTCCATTGCTATTTTCTACAATTACCAATTTATCAACAGAACCTAAATCAGTGGGTTCAGAATATCTTGCCAGCAAATCAAAGATTTTTTCATTGTAAATCTCCAAATAGGAAATCCTGAGGAATTGAAGAAAATGAAAAATTAAAATGTAAACAAAAAATATATTTATGGTATAAAGCAAAAGTTAAAAATGCATTTTTTTTTAAAGAATTATCTAACTTTATTATTGCTCTAATAAATGTTTATATTTGAGAAAAATCATCATCCTCCCAAGAGTTGCTTTAACTCATTCTTTATATTGCTTTTGTTACAATTCTCATCTACATCCTTCCTTGGGTATACACTCTGTCTGGAATGAAATGAATCTCTTTTCTAAAGAAATGGAGTGACTCCATATTTATACACAAGGATGCTTTTCAATTCTTTCATTGCTAAAGAAAAAAATACGATATTCTGTAAATAAAATGTTAATATCGCTAACAAGTTATTACTAGCACACTTCATAAGACAAGGATCATTGATCAGTTTGTCTTGTATAATGACCAAAGCTTCCTTTATTGAAACTGTTAAATAAATTGACCACATCAAAGTTCAACATTAGTGATAAGATGAATGTCATGAAATGGACTGAGTTTCTCATAGTCTTTGGTGTACTGCCTTAAAGTAGTTTTAATGGATTTGCTAGAAAGCTGTAAACAAAGATAGTTGACAATGGATATTAATGAGATATTTTCCTTGTATATCTTAAGACAATACAAATTTGCAAGTGTTTGTACTCTTGATATAAAGTGATTCTTTAGGATTTGAAACAAGATAGAATCATTGTTTAACTTTTTGTAAATTGACAATTGTTTGCCAGATTTTCTTCATATACTTTTCACAATTGCATTCCCTTCATCTATGAATGAATCAAACACAAGCCCTTTTTCTGTTACTGGATATGTGGCCATACAACAAATCAGTTTTAAAATTATTCTGATTCTTTTAATTTAATAATCAAATGTTTTTGTGAGAAATACAGTTTAATTTCCAATGTCCTCCTGGGTAAAAACTTTTTGCAAATTTCACAGAGCCAGTTATAAAGCTTGCCCATGACACCTGCAAGCTCTGATGCAAACAAATCTCTTATTCAATACAAATTATTGTTGTTTAAAGCCTGGTCTTGCAAAATAAAAAAAGATCATAAAAAGATATAAAATAGATTCTAGTGAAAATTGCAATCACAATATTGGAAAAACTAAAACAAAATAAATGTTTCAAAATTAAATGGGAAAAATACTTTTGAAATACACATTTTTCCCCTGAACAATGTATGAATGAAAAGATCATAATAAAAGCATTATTTACAACATTTATTTTCTTAGATTAAATAACTTTCTTAAATGTTAACTTTGAAATAAAATGTCAGAGTATATTTAAAAATTTTTAAAATGTCTGACAAATACTAATAATGATAATATACATTTTGTAACCAATCACTATTTGTAATACTGAATGTAAAAAATGTATGCCTACATCAAATTCTTGATGGAAAAGTTTTAATTTAGAAGAGAAACAAGTGAATCCTATTTCTAAATGAACAGATAAAGAATGAATTTGGTCAGTTGTAGAATCAAAAACTACACTATTTTATAGTCCAAGCATATGGGACTTTCAAAAAGTATAAAATACACAACAAAATACTGATTGAGTTTTGGAACTAAAATGTGTTAAAATAAATTGGCAATTTGCTTTTCAGGATTTAAAGACCTTCATAGAAAATATTTTTCATATTTTAAGAAAATTATCTGGAAATAATTGACTCTTGAATTTGTAGATGTTAACCATAATTTTATAAAACTGGCTTTAAAAATCAGTTTTACCAACTGGAACAACAGAAATCCTTATGTTCTTTATATTCACAACCCAATAAGAAAAAAATTATATATTTCTATAGTAATGAAATGAATAATTAAATAATTTATGAAAAGATTGCTGTTATAAACTTTCACACCCATTTTTTTGTGACAATTTCTAGCCAGTGAAGCCCCAAATCATGTCAAATGTTGAAGTTCTATTTGGAAACCTCTTGTTTTTTTTTTGTTTTTTGGGTTTTTTTTTATGTAGCTACTGTCAATTTTATAAGTAATTGACAATTGTTTCATTTATCAATTTGGGAACTGTTGAATATTTTCAAGAAAATATTAATATTATGACAGAAAATACCCAAAAATTATATTTCTTGTAGCTGATCACTAATTTCCACCTATAGAGCACATACAAGATCCAAAAAAGTGCTGCTAGACATAAATTGACTAGAATTAAAACTTTTTGAAAGGCATACAGACAAAACAACTGTAGTAGTGTACAACACTTTTTGTAACATCCAGAACAGCCTTAATATTATAAGCAAGCATATATGTTCCCAAAACAGATGACTATCAACATAAAACAGTGAACAAATGGAGATGCAAGGTGTAATAACATTTTTGAATGCCATGGGGGGAAAGTCTAACTTTGCGACCCAAAACAACTGAAATCTCAATACATAGATATTTCTTTTCAGCTTTTGGAATGGTAACAAGTTGATGATGATCACAGAGTCAAAAACAAAAACAATTTAATTGTGGCCTACAAAACAGAAAAACAGAGTTACAGGCGGAGTGTTACGAGGAAGAAGGAAAGGGAATCAAATATCTTTATCACTTTAGGGCTAGTGAAGTAATCTAAGTGCTATATTTAAAAATCCACAAAGGTGTGTAAATAAATATTAATTTTTAGTTTGGTCAATGAAAATTAGTCAAAATTCTATTTACCAAATTTGTTCTATGAAATTCTCTTTTGGGTTTTGGTTGGTCGGCAGCATATTATAGAGATTCTTTCGGCTGGATATAATAATCCTTGAATCAAAAAACCGGAGTTGATACAGGCAACAATTTCCTTTCACCAACTGACAACCCTTTTCCAAAATCCCATTTTTATAGGGGCTAACACCTAATTTGCAAATTTTCCAATGAGGTTCTTTGTCTATGATTTCAACCTGATCCCACAAAGGGCAGTGATTTCAGTCAGCCACGCCTGATTTTTACCACTTCCCCTAGTGTTATAGTTTTTTGGTGTTCTTGAAGCCTTACCTTAAGGGGGCTGCCTGTCTCCCCTTTATATTTCTTTCCGCACTTGGTTCACAGGGTTCAAAGAAGAATGGTTCTCACTCAAACCTACAAGCTTTATTTGCTCAAAGCCATTTTAACCATTGATCTTAGAAAGTGGTTGTATACAGCTGATGGTTTACTGAATGAGTTTGGCAACATACATGGCACCCATATGAAATTCTTGATCTGACAAGGCTATTTAATAACATAAGTTTTTAGGCTAATTTTTTTTTTTGGTTTTACAACAATTTACAGTGCTGGGAAAAACTACTTCTAATACAACCTCGTCTATGTTCAATTAATTTATCTCCTATACTAAATTTGTCCACACATTGTGGAATTTGAAGTGTTTAGTGTTTACTAATTTCACATTCTAAATTTTTATGATGGACTGAATAGGTATAGTGATCTAGAATGGTGTGTTCACAAAGGAGCATAAAAAAATGCAAGATGAACTAAATATAGGCTGTTCACATTCATCAACAACAGACATTTCTTTTCAACTTTTGGAACAGTATAGGAGAACTAATGAGGAATTTCTGGAGTACACAATCATAGGTAATAGGATTAAGATGTATCATGTTACTCTGGAGAAGATTCAATAAAAGAAACAACTCAAAAATATTCAGAATTTAGTAATCAGCAAAGAAATTAATGGGAACTATATTATGGAATGCAAAGATGTTCTGCTTGTAGAATTTATACTACATGGCCTGATAGAGACTGTGAAGATACTAAACAGACTGAAGAAAGCTGATCATTGAAAGAGACAGGGATGTTTACATTTGGATGTCATCCTAACACCACCTAAAAACAGTCACATGGCTGGGATGGTTTTACTACATAGTTCTGACTTGGCTCCTTCAGATTATCATCTATTTGGGCCTCTCAACCAAATTTATCAGGGAAGCAGTTCCACACAAATGATATTATTATTGCAAATGTGCAAGGATGTCCCCAGTCATTTGACACCACTTTCTTTGAGGAAGATATGTGCTTGTGCACTGGCAAGACAGTGCATCAATCTCAACTATATGAAGAAGTAGCAGAGTAGTGCTAGTAACATATGCACAATATTTTGTGTAGTAACAAACATAATAGATTAGTAAATGTTTGCATCTTACTTTTTGGACATTCACCATACTTCAAGTTTGCTTCTTGAACCATTAAGTTTATCTTCAAATTGAGTCATAGTTTATATAAGGCCAGTGGAAAAGAACTCCTGTACACCTAAATGCTATTTTGGTAAAAATATACAATAAGCATGGCGTTAATGATGTTAGCATGATGCAGGCTACATATGTGTATAGTTTAAATAACATCAGGTTGGCTAGTCTTGTTGTAGATTGAAACTCTACAGCTGGTTATTATATATATATATGTATATATATATACACACACACACACACACACACACACACACACACACACACACACACACACACACACACACACACACACAAGTATATTTCAACTGCTGTACACATGTGTGACAGATGTGATGAAAAGTATATACATACAAAATTTATTCTATTAAAAGATGCTGAAAAATTCTCAAACCAACTCACTTCTCAAAATCTGACCAAATGTCATATTTTGTGGGGAAGGGTTTCTTGGTTAGGCCAATAGTTTTTCAACACCCACTTGTAAAGTAGAGAATTATCAGTTTAAAATGACAACAAGGAGTAAAAGTTGAAATATGGTTTAACAAGAATATTAGAAATGCATTTTTTTTCAGGTCTCAAGTACTACATACTAAATAATACTATTTTTTATAAAGAAAATATTTTATTTCTTATAATTAGAAGCATTGTAAATTTTAAGTCTTTTAGGAATTGAGTTAATACAGTTTTATATATATATATATATATATATATATATATATATATATATATATATATAGATAAGTCACAGAGAAAATATAAAAGAAAATGGCAGTTTAACCAACAGTTAACTTATCTGTAGACATATATTGTGGAAGAATA